AAAATAAATATATGTATTTTTATAAGTTTTTGAAATTTTCCTTACATTTTTTAGGAAACCATGGTTCATAGAGTTAAAGTCAGACAACCAAGGCTCAGCCCTGGTACGAGCAATCTATTGGGTGGTAATATTTTTTTTCGCATTCAAACCAACTGTTTTAAGACAATTGACTGCGTTCGGATATTGACCCGGAAATGTTTGGATTGCCTAGCGAGTATGTTTGTACTAAAATAAAATGTTGTTGAGAAAACTTTTTTTCTTAGTTTCAAAACTCAAATTGTTTTTGCGTACAATTTACCCGCACGCAGAGTCGTTGCACATTTCAAAAGGCGAACTAATTGATCTTTTAACTCAAAATTTAGCTCTTCATCTGATATTGGCAAAACAAAATTTATTGTTCATCAGAACTTGATTTATTCAGGATCATTTGAAACTAAGGCACAGAACTTAAGGGACAGACCAAAAAATTAATTAAGGCCTTGCACTGGTATACCAGCGTTATTGTTGTCTCGACTTTCGACGAAAACTGAAAATTAATACTTGACGCGGTTTTTTTATTCAGTCAACTTACGGCGCTCTGAAAAGTTTTAACAAACAATTTTGTGCCCTATTGAAAATATCGACTCCATAAACCCAAAACTTTACCTCCAATCATTTTTTGCAAAGTTTTGGGGTTTGAATTTGCCAATTTGGCCATGCTCTTCACAAATTTATGCTTTCTTTTATCTTGTGTTTTTACGTTATGTCCTGATGTTCCGATCAAAATAAACTAAATACATGTGCTAGGGGTGGTGTTTTTTTCTCCAGGTTAAATTCGACTCTTTAACTTGCTTTTATTGATGTTTTTTCTAAATAAAGTTATCCGAATAGTTATCTCAACTTTCAATCAAAATTTTACCAGATATCTGTCATCGTAAGCTTGTGGGAGGTTGAACTTTGTCAAATTGGCCATCCGAGTTAAACACAATTCCAAATCTTACAATCGCGAATCATGCAACAATCCTTTGAAAAAAATGATTAAAGTTTGTTCAATTAAAAAAAATGAATTTAATTTTTTGTACCCAGCACACGCGACAAAGAGTTTAGTTAGAGCAATCAAGCAATTATAAGTCTTGCATGTGCAATGCATTGGGAACAACTTGAATGGTATTTTTTTTGCATTAGGACAATTGAAAAGACCGTTGGGATATTGACCCGGAAATCTTTGGATTTCCAAGCGAGTATGTCTGTACTAGAGCAAAATGTTGTTGAGAATACTTTATTTTTCTGAGTTCCAAAACGCAAAATGTTTATGCGTACAATTTATCCGCACGCATAATCATTGCACATTGCAAAAAGCGTACTAATTAATCTTATTAATTCGACTCATAATTTAGCTCTACAGATTATATTTGATGAACTATAATTTTTTTTGCCAATATCATATGTAGAGCTAAATGTATAGTTCATCGAAACTTGAGTTATTAAGGTTCATTTGAAAATAATGGAGAGCAGTTGAGGGGCAGACTATTTAATTAAGGCCTTGCACTGGTACACGAGCAGTATTTGCGCCTCGACTTTCAAAGAAAAGGGAATTTTCATGGTTGGTGCAGTTTCTTATTCAGTTAAGTTATGGCGTTAGGAACAATTTTTTGATTTCAGTTTTATGCTCAATTGAAGATATCGACTCCATGAACACGAATTTAAAAAGATGTTTTTGGCCGATCATTTGTTGAAAACTTTTGGGGTTTGAATTTGAATTTGCCAATTTGGTTATCTTCTGGCCTTTTTTGTGATTTTTTACGTCTTGTTTTTAGACTTTGTCTTGTTGTTCCAACTTTTTTTTAACTTGGGGTGGTTGTAATATTTGTTCTTGCATTGGTGTTTTTTTTCTTCAGACAAACTGACTTTTTAACGGGCTATTTTGGACGGATTTTTAAAACTCATTCGAAAAGTATAGTTGTCTTGATCTTAAATTTGGAAAGTTATGTAGCCTTTGAACATTTTAAGTCTGCGTTTTCGGCCACTTTGGGACAAATAAAGCGCGATATATTTCGCGCTATTAACGCGTCGGCGGAGATTAAATCCGCCTTAAAAATTGTTCCAAATTGGTTGAAGGAACCTTATTTGCCATCATTGGCTCGTTACTAAATGCAAAATCTGTCATTTTGTACTCTGTGGCGTGTGGGGGATTAATATGAAAAATTTTAAATCAAATTAATTTTTTAATGTTATTGCTGCTCCAGACACCTGAAAAGGCAGTCGGAACAATCAGTGCTTCGCCCTGATGTGAGCAATCTCGTTTATCTTTTTTTTATAGAACCTGCTTATGATATGATGTAGTTGATTTCCTCATGACACCATGAATACAGAACCCCACAACTTGAACAGTAGGAACTTTTTCTATTCTTGTGAGTTTTTTTTTTCTGTTTTTTTCTGTCAAAAAATAGCTTGTTGGACTCAGAAGCTAAAAACTAGCTGTACCTAAATACTTAAATCATGAATTATTGATCACATCTTTCATTTACGTTTTTCGGGCTTCTTTGTTCAGCAATAACTCGCCTCTCAAAATTCTACGGTTATTACCTTAAATTTAATACAAGTTGCAAAAACTTAGCTCACTTTCAGACAGATTAGGTCGTTTTTTGGTTGTTTTGAGCCATAATTTCAGTCTGAAAAACTAGCTTTCGAATGCAAAAATTTTCATAAGGTTGTTTGCTCTAAATAGTTATTATTGTCTGTTTCAATTTATGACAATTCTTAATGGTTTCGAGAGTTATCATAAGTTGAAACAGACAGCAGTTTTGAATTTGATGATAATAGTTTCGAAAAAATTGATTCATCACCAAATTCAAAACTTCGGACGAAAAAAAAACAAGGGAAACGGTAACTGTATAAAATTATTTGGGCAAAATATGCACTAAAAACCGCATAAAACGTGTTGATTAGTGTTTTCGTCTAGAGATAGCTGAATTGCTTGTTACGGAGATGTGGTATAGCATGAGACTGCAAATATGAATCAATTAGCAAATCCATTGCCAAATTCGCTCCTGAAGATAACCCACCATCATTGCTGGATCTTCAGCTATTCCCCCCCCCCCCCCCTATGGTTCCGAATTACAAACCGCCACTTATAATATAATTCAACGGTTACGCATATGAGAATTAAACCTAACGATTTTTTTAAGAGTTTAAATAGTTAAAGATATTCCCTGTTGGATTCCTGGGCCTTGGTATCCCCTCACTGCTTCAGCTTCAAATACCAAAGGTACAGTGCTGATTTACATTATCCGGATAAAACGAACAAAACTTGAAATTTCAAACGCGTTTTTCTCAAATTGGGTCAAGATTAGACAAAAAGTGAAGAGAACAAAAGTTGCTTGGAATTTCAAAATTAATATGGTGCTATTTTTTTTCCGAAATTCTCAACCAAAATTTTACCCCAAAAATGGGTCATTTTGGTTTTTTTTTTTCAATTAATCAAGAATTACACTGAAACTACTTTTTTAATTGATGAGAAAATTATATCACAAGAAGCCTCCTACATAGCCCAGCAAAGTTTAAAGAGTTAAATCTCCAAAAGTTTGCGCAAATTGTTTAAAATGTGTTTATAAACAGAGATTCTGGGTTTTATATAGTAAAAATCACATTTATTGACTATCAAGTAAAAAATTTTTCTCTTATACTGGTTTTCGGAGATTTAACCCTTCTTAAACTTTGTTGAGCTATGTAGGAGGCTTCTTGTGCTGTATTTTTTTAAAATCAATTAACAAAATAATTTCGTTGTAATTCTTGATTAATTGAGAAAAGCCAAAATGACCAAATTTTGGGGTGAAATTTTGGTTGAGAATTTCGGAAAAAACTATATTAAATTCGATGAAATTCTAAGCAACTTTTGTTCTTTTCACTTTTTGTTTAATCTTAACCCAATTTGAGAAAAACGCGTTTGAAAATTCAAGTTTTGTTCGTTTTGTCCGGATAATTTAAAGCAGCACTGTACCTTGAGAGAGCATTATTTTTTTTTCGTATAGCATATAATGTTTGTTGAATCGACTCATTATTAGTAATGATTGGATCGTGACTCCGTTAGCACTACTTGAAATGATTGAGAAAAATTTCCAACAAAATGAGCAAGTTCATGCTGATTATCCTCGTTCTGCTTACAAACGTACGTTTCAAATAACTTGGCAATTAGGAAAAAAATAGTTTACTCTAACCTCGAGACTTAGGCAGACAAAAGTTACAGAATTTTAATAATAACTCTAATCATTGAAGCACCAAAATGATTAATATCAATTTTTCATAATGCCGGCCTCTTTCAACAGTTGTGATCTAGTCTTTGGGATGAAGACGCGACTCCTCCTTGGGAACTTGATTATACACATCAGAATAATATCTCAGAACTTCTTGGTAACTGCCACTCAAATAGTCAAGTCTGTCCATCACTTCAAAAAGAGTAAGCTCCACGCTGACTAATCCAGATACGTGTCTGTCAACTTCCCCCAGCGAGTTGAGATCGGTAAAAAACTGAGCAGAGTTCTCGTCTATCACTGCAGTTCCAGCTTCATTGAAGTTTGCGACCCAGATGAGGTAGATGTTGTAGATCTCCTGAGTTGTGAATGGGCACATGATCTCAGCAAAGTGACTTCGTCCAATAGGCGCCGAAACTCCGACCTCAAAGTTCAATTTGCTGTAGGAGGTTCCGATTCTCCAGTCAGCCTCAGAACAAGCAGCGTCGACAGTTTGGAAATCAGGCTTGAAAGTTGTTCGCAATAACTGTTTTGTCGATTCAGAGTTCGCCTCGTTTACTTTTGCCCATTTACCTTTGCTACTCGCTAGAGAAAGTGCCGTTAACTGCATTAAAATGATGCTCAGAGTAACCATATTCTTCATTTCTGATTAGATTAAATATATTTTATTGTCTTTTCTCAATATTGGTTGTTTCGACTACTGCATCTGTTAAAATTATGAATGATGTAGCAATAAAATTTTAAAATATTTTCAAATTTGAAATACCTGTCACATTAAATTAATTAAAAATAGCAATGAAATATTAAGAAGTTTCAAGGTCAAAATAAGTACGCACATTAGACAAACATAATGTGGTCCTGTGATTTATTTGCAATATTTTCAGGTAGCACAGAGTGTTGAAAGTCTGTTTCGTTATTATGAATATTCAACTCCGAAAAAGTTTGATTCTGAGGCAATGAGATTACCCTCGGATCCCCCCACACTTCAAGTTGGTCGGGTGGAGCCGATTGTGCCCTCAGAATTGTTTTGTTGCGCCGCGTTGATCTTTGTGAAGGCGGAGTAACAGGCCGACGGTACTTAATAATCCCCTGCTCCCCGTTTTCGCGTGCAGCCGCCCTTCGCCGCACCTTCTGAAGTCGCTCGATCTCGATCGGAGATTTGTCGCTCGGCGAATGACTTCGCACAACTGACGACTCATTGTTACGTTGTTTCGACGAGAGATCGCTGTTCGTTTTGCGTCGTCGTTGCTTTTTCGGGTGTATATCATAAGTGCCTGGATTTTGCTGAAGGTATGCTTCAGTTACAGGCTCGAGTTTGTTCAGAAATTTTTCTATTTTGACCATGTTGGTGGTGTAACTGGTATCCAAGCTAAAAAATCAGTGAATTTGACAAACGTTTTCTAGAAAACAGGGCATCGTTTCTAGTGATTTATTTTTTAAAGTTATGTTCACTATTTGGAGGAACAGAACACATGTTTTTTTTTCTGCCTGAACGCAATTTTATCTCAGTTACATGGAGTTATTAGTCATGTTCTGGTATTTTGACCTCTTTTCAGAGCAAAACTGAATCATGTTGATGCAATAATCCCTGCTCGAAATTTATCCCGAGTCATGACCTCAGGACATTTTCAGCGCTGTTTTGGAAAACAATTTTCTGCCGACCAACTCTTCCTACTTTCAGCAAAAAAGTTTTTCGATAATTGTTCCGACCTTTTGAAAAATGTGGAGGTACTTGTATTTGGGTGTGTTTTAATTTTTTTCTTTTCATTTTTGTTTTGTTTTCTACGCTTCTCCTTATATCCATCCCTGGATCTGATACAAGACGTTTTAGGTGATTCGACTATTGAAATGTGCAGGAACGTGATGTACTAACGTGGAAAGGGTGGGTTTTAGTTTTTTTTTGTTTTCAACACAAAATCAGGTACCACAAACAATCATAGGAAAGGGTCGAGTGATATATCATATTAAAGCACTTTCATTCTTGATTCGAACGACAGTAAAATTCTTTCAAAAAGTTAGTGTCCCACTAACGAGAGGAACAGATTTTTGTTTCTTAATCAAAATTCGAGCTAATAAGGTGAGCTAAACAGGTTTGTTTATGCTTAATTTAAGCGGTCAAAACTTGATTTTAGAACACTTAATTTATGTTTTTATCGGAGAATTTGGGAATCAAAAACTTCAAATATCAAATTCAGTGCAAAAAAATTTGAAAAATTGAAAATTTTTCGAATTTTTTAAATGTTTTCCCATTTTCTCCAAAAACTGTTTACCAATTGGCCTATTTTACTATGAATGTCGAATATGCCTAATTTTTAGTTTTTTTTTCCAGATCTTTTTATCACACCAGAAGAAACGACAAAACGACACTAATTTGAAACGACAAAACGACACGACCGCCTCTTCTCAATTCTGGTTGCCAATTTTTTCTAAAGGGCCTTCCCTTTGGTATAACTTTATGACACACATTTTAGCTGAACATCTCAACATTTTTCCAAAGGCGACTTGGGTGCCAATTTGACCGATTTTTGGGGGGGGGGGAGCGCGCGCCAAAAAAAGCGCAATTTTTAGGTCAAAATTTTACCTGTTCTTAGTAAAATTTGCATACTGCGCTAAAAAACAGGGTCCTTACAGTATTTTCGGAGACCAAAAATCAAATTGGTCTCCGAAAATACAAATTGGTTGGAAAATCAAACTGGTCCAACCTAACAAAAAGGTCGGTAAAATTTTAATTTTTTCTTCGAAAAACCACCCCCCAGAAAAATTTCTGCGCACGCCTCTGATTAGTATATATTGCCGCTCTGGGAGCATTACTGAAACTTTAAGGGTTATTCGAACCAAAATGCATGCCGTTAAATAGAACCAAATGGGGTCATTTGGCAGGTGTGGGAATCAGATTCCCATAATGAAAGGGGCGTGACCCATTAATCCGCATGAGAGTTTTGCCATTACTAAGACTATTTGTGGCATATTTCAATTGATGCAACATTGTAAGTCTATTACAGTCTATTGCGTATTTTCCCTCTCCATGTACTTACAATAGAATCACTGGTTTTTGTTTTTTTAGTTTTTGGCATGGAGTGGCTGAACATTTAAATCAATCAATCGTACAATCCACCCAAAAAAGCATCCAAAAAATTAACCATTCTGCCAAGATGGTATAGTGAAATAAACTGTACGAACTTGAGTTCGCTCTCGTTCAACAGATTGGATTCGTTTGCTTTCCCGTAAGCATGACTAGATGACAAAGCTTCGTTTGATAAAGCCAGATTGTTTTGATCTTCATGTCCGTTCACACCTTCAATTGGAAACGGCTCACCAAGACCACTGTTTGTATTCGACGATGACTCATGCTCCTCGGGTGCTCGAGTGGGACTCGTCAATCCATTTTCAGTAGATTCAATCTTATGAGAACTCTGTTGAGTTTTGCTTTTCCTGGAATTCTTGCCCCCACCCATATTTCTGATGTCCCCGTCGTTTTGAATGGCATCATTCAGTTGTTGCTTCAGCGTTTCAAACTGCATTTCATATCCTATAACTGAATGGTGTTCGTTGCTTAAAGTACCATTTTGCTCATTTATTGCCGAGTTTGATTTAGATGCGATCCCGTTATTCAAAGGTAGCGGATGCTCATATGGATCGCTAAGAGCATGCAATTGATGGGCACTGGAACTTACTTCTGTCGATTTTGTGGAATGAGTAGGAAATACAGGTTCGGGGTCTAGAAACACATCATCGTCCAACTCATCCTCAATATCACTTTCACCTCGAAACGCGGTCGCCTTTGGGGTTTGACGACCCATGAAGTGCAAACTTGGTGAACTGACCGTACGTTGACCAATATGCTCATTTCTACTGTTTCGCTCCGCTACTTCAAGATGTATATTTGACATTGGTCTTCGTGGAACCGACTTGTCTCGCCGTTTTGACCGACTCTCGTTTTTGTTGAAGCGAGGACTTGAGTCGCTGTAAATAGCTTGCGAATCAGAGGAGTCGTAGTGTAGCTGCAAAGGCACCGGAGCAGGCTGGTTGAACTGGTGCTGCAGCCCTAAGGGAACCCTCAGGGGCTGATGTTTTCCCTGACTGTTCAAACTTATCTGTGAGTTCTGATGAATTTGGTTTATCATATGTTGCTGCTGCACGTGACGTGTCACTAATTCTTGGTTGGAAATTGATCGCATGTAGGTGGGTTTGTCTGGCATCACCGGAATATTAATCTCCTTACTTTTTGATCGATCATTTGGAGTTCTGCGGACCAAAGATGCGGGTTGCAAGTTAGTTTTCGGGTTATAATTAATTGCAGGCTGGGAATTGATTTTGTCGCCCGGAAACATTTGCTGAAATGGGATTTCGTTTATAAATCTCGGATCCCTGGGTTGGAGATGAGGTGGATTGGGTTGGCTGGGTACATGCAATGCTGCGGGTAATGCATGATCTCTTTTAGAAATTCGTGGTGCTTCCCATAATTGGTATGGTGACGCGGGGATCATCCCGTGGTACGAATGTTGCGCCTGGAATTGAGGTCTGGATTGATGATTGAGGAGATTTGGAGATGGTATCATGAGTCCCGTGGATGCGCTGTACGATTGATATTGGACTGGATTAAAACTTTGTCCGGGAAAACCATGAATGAACTCTTGATACTCGCAATCAACCTGTAAATAAATACAAACTTTCTTGTCCAACTTTAAAAAGTACTAAACAGAAAAAAACTGCCTGTTATGTATCAAGAGCTCAACATTATGTTCACGTTCCCTGTGCCCTAGCTGGTAACGTCAAATCAAATTCAATCATATGACCGTTTAGATTAGATATAGAAACTAACATGTTATATACTTACTGATTGGTATATTCCATCAGGGGTCCTGCCATAGTGCATAATGGGCTCCGAGGCCACACTCATCCCACTATTTGCAGAACTCGCCTCCGCCCCTCCGCCCTTCTGTACTTTACTCTTTCTGCTCTCCCCTCCCCCAGCCTTCTTCGGGTTCCTGTCTTTCTTGCTATCAGACTCCGAGCTCAGAATTTTCACCTCACTCGAACCCTGTTTTAGCTTGGACTTCACAAAAGCCAAGTTGTCTTTTGGCGTTATGCTCATTTTTATGGACCGTTTGTTCTGCTGATCTTTCGTTTGAGATTCTTTTTTGTTAGTTCGCAATTTGTCGCGATAGTTTTCGACGTTGTTGGCATTCGGGGAAATGATCGGGGCTGCTCGTTTTGGTGGAAGAGGTGGTTTATATTGAGGTGGTCTCACTGGAGGGTTCTGATTGGCACCATTATGGATTGGGATTTGTTGATTGCTCGCTAAAAGGTCTTGTGATTGATATTTACTCCGCGGGCTCGGCTGACCGAAAAGTCTTCGAAAAGAATGCTGGATTGACCGAAGTGGCGATCGTGACCGACTCGACTGAAAAACATCAGTTTCTACAGATTTGAACAAACTGCTATTACCTTTTGTAAAACTTCTTGTGATTTAGAAAAAAAAGTAATCCATTTTTTTCAAACACTCTCTCATTAAAAATACTTTTTCCCCAAGTCCCCAAAACAACTCGAAAACAATGGATTTAGTTAAAAAATGCTTGATGAAGGAAAAGTTAGATTTCTCACCCGGCATTCTGATCTGTCACTTTCTGCATCTCCCAGATTGTGCACGGAGGGAGCGGGCGAGGGGGGCTTGGAAGCGCCAGAGCGGGATGCCAGCGATGTGCTGCTGGCTGCGGCTTTAAGTTTGGTCAGAAAGTTCATTCTGGTTATGTATGTGGCGGCATCATACAAGCCACCGATTGATAAAACGTAATCACATGTGAAAATTCGACTGTTTGAAAACAGTTCGTGTTAGATGTAAGAATGAATTACTTCAAATTTGGTAGAGTCTGACGAAAAGGTGCATGTTTTGAATATTTGAGTTAATTTACTTTAACTTTACTGCATGCCAGCATTATCAGGTAGAATTTACTCAGCTGATTTAAAAAACGAGAAACGTAGAATGAATAGAAAAGTTTGCGAGTTTAGACGCATTTTACCGCACCAAACAAAGTGGCTTCAATTTAGGCCTTTGTTCCAGTTGAGCTTTGATCAAAAATCTCATTAGCAAAAAAAGATCCAAAAATATTTCTACAATATAAACTATCATCAAAAAATTGTTCAATAAATAACCACAGAGTTCAGGATGTGAACAGGTTTTGAAATTTTTCAAAATTTCATTTCCAGTTTCAAAAAGTTTCCAGACTTTCAACTTAGACAAATTTCAAGACTTTATATGATGGGATCATTTAGTTACCTATGATAACGTTTGCGAGGAGCGGGACTATGTCGCGAAGGATCGAGCGTTCGAATCCGAGGCCAGTTTTTTTCTAATTCAATGAGCGTAGTTCAGACTGTTACATACATAGGAATGATTTGTTTTTTTTTGTTTTTTTTTTTCAGGAAAAGGTCTTAAAACTTGTTCAGGCTCAAATTTACCTTTTCGCGGTTTGAAGTTTGATCTATTTTTAAGTTCAGTTCATTTTCTTTGGTAAAAAAGGCAATCTCCACTATCGAATTTAAAAATCACGAAGAAACACGGTCAAAATCTAATTTTGAAAATGGAAATTAGCTATCAGATTTCCCAGCGGAATAAAAATTTTAGTCAATAATCCAGTTTTCTCAAATTGAGTTAGCTTTATCAAAATTACCGAAAAAGTGCTGATCATATATTGTTTTTGAATTTCAAAGAGTTTTCAGAAGTAAAACTTTGCGTGAAAAGGAGGACTTGTCAAAATAATGAAAACTAAATTTCATACTTTCAATTTATTTTCTTTTTTATCCTAAAATGCAGTCGGAGTTTTTAAGAGTCGATGAAGTTAGATTATAGGTCTTGGCGGTTTTTTCTAGCGTTTTTTTCAGGAAAAAGTCTTATAATTCTCTTATAAGAATAGCTAGATTAATACATATTAACGCATTTATGAATGCCCTTAGGTACAAGAATTTTTAAATTCATATGCTGGACGCAATTATATGAAGAACGCAAAAAATCAGTTTTAAAGTGATTTGGCTTCTAATTTTGAAAATGGAATTTAATTTTCAGATTTCCCGGCGTAGTATTAATTTAAATTATGATTGAACATATTAATGAACCTTAACACATTCCAGGATCGTTCCCCCTTGGCGTAGAGATAGAGCGATTGCTTTTGCACCCTTATATCTAGGGTTCGAGTCCCGTCCCAACCTTGTTTTTTCATTATGTATGAAAACTAAATTGTTTTCACGTAAAAGTTGAAGAATTGTCCGACTTTCTTTTGTTACTCAAGTTTTGTCGGCTTAGTTGCCGCATTACAGATTATTCTTTTGCTTAAAGAGTTTTTAAAAGTAATGATCGTAGTAGGTATATAGGTACTGGTGGTTTTTTTTCAGCGAAAAATTTGTTCAAGATTAGTCAAGTTAAACTCTCCCGCATCTACGAAATCAATTGACAAAACACTGGGACACCACTTTTTAAGTAAGCTTCCAGTTAACAACATTATGAGATCTTTGAAGGACAAAAACCTTATCCCGTTGAAAAACTTATCATTTCCCGATGCAACGCAAGATTACTCAGACTCTATGTCGATTTGGCCTATGAGGATGTTAAATAAAATGAGGAACGGTAAATTATCAATCAGTACCACCATTAACCCAAATCTGTTGGACTGCCACGTCGGATACAAACGTTTTGAACCCTAAAACAAAGGAGTGCCTATTCGCGTATAAAAAAAGGTCAAAATTTGTTTTTATCTTTTCTCGCAACAGGCTCCCACAGTTCTGCTGGATGCAACAGCCGGACTGCCACGTCGGATACAAACGTTTTGAACCCTAAAACAAAGGAGTGCCTATTCGCGTATAAAAAAAGGTCAAAATTTGTTTTTATCTTTTCTCGCAACAGGCTCCCACAGTTCTGCTGGATGCAACAGCCTCAGAGATTTTACACTAAACTTCTCTTTGAAAAAATCTTGCCGAAAATTATAATCATAACAAATTGTTTCCAGTATAGGTTCACATTGATCAAAATAATTTATAAAAATGACCACTCGAAAAAACCCAATCTGGGAGATCGTCATTAGGGAGAAGCTTGTTTTCAGACGTCTCTGAGCGCAAAAAAAACAGGTTCTAATTGGGATGGTGGTGTAAAACTACCGGTTTTTTTTTATTAGAACTGTATAGAACGAAAGTTTTTTAAGACTGCAGAAATGAAAATTTATTTAGTTAAGAGTTTGAAAAACTAAGTAGGACAGTTTTGGTGAGATGTTTACATTGTAGATAACAGATACTACGAGAAAAATTAGAGTTTTAATTCTATAAACTTTTATTTCCTATTAATGTGGTCTCTAGAACTTTATGGAGAAAGTTGTTAATTCCATTCCGTGTCATTTTGCCAATCATTTCAAAATAGTTGTAAAAAAATTATGAGACAATTGTAGAGTTTTTGTGTTCTAATAGCAATTGAAGTCTTATAGTGTTTTTTAGAAATTATGACCAGTTTCTTCATTCGTTTATGATTATGATATAATTTGAATAGTTCGTCAGATTTGATTGTTTTGCTGAGTGTCTCACACTCACATTCACCGCGAATAATTTTACAGAGAAGTTTTAAGAGTTTGAAACATTATATATTTTCACTTTTTCCCGCAGTGATTATACTGATTCGAATTTTTCTTGAAACTTAAGACTCTAGTTAATCTGTTGATGTTGAGATCACTTTTGTCAAGGTTTGATTTAGAAGTCGAACCGTATATTAACACACCATTTTGAACAACAGATTTAACGTATGTTTGATAATACTGGTTCAGTTGCTGTTTATTTAAAACCGTACTTAATTGAAAAGTGAATCCAAGGAATTTATTAAGCTTTTTATTAACAATGTCAATTCTACGAATTCACGTTTTCTATCGTGATACAAACCCAGATATTGGAAAACGGATTTTTTTCTATGTCTTTGTTGTTAGTTTTAATTGAGTAGTCGATTTTTGTTTCCTTCCGTTTTGTGAACCTAACCGTTTTGGTTTTATCTAAGTTCAAAGTCAGTTTGCTTTTGTCTAACCATTCTTTTACTTTGTATTTTTATGCATTTTTATCGTTTTCTTTCAGTATTGATTTTTCAGTCTGAGTTTTAAGGGACGTATCATCGGCATAGAGATAGACATTTGTTGTTGCATTTAACTTTTGTAAATCATTGATAAACAGAATGAAAAGTAGAGGTCCTAGGATTGAGCCTTGCGCAACTCCGCATTTTTTTGACTTTACGATTTGATTCTGTTGATGCTTACAAGATGCTTATTTTCTGATAAAATTGAAACTAGAGTAGCATATGCTGGTCTTCTTCTACCGTAATAAGAATATTTGTTCAGAAGAAGCTTGTGATCAACAGTATCGAACGCTTTTTAATTCAAAGAAAATTGTATCAATAGTTCGGTTGTTCCAATAGTTTCCTTGATCAAATAACAGAAAAGAACTTCACTAGTTTGGTTGTTCCAATCTTATCGAAAATCTCCTACTAGAGAAGCAATAGCATCAACTGTACTTTTTTTGTCTTAATCCGAACTGATATTTGATGTAATATTTTTTGCTGATTCCAAAAAAATCTAAAAATCGGTTGTATATTGATCGTTCTAGTATTTTTCCAAACACAGGTAAGAGTGATATTGGTCTAAGTTTGGAATGTTCGTGTTCATTCCCCTTTTATGTATAGATATCACTTTTGTAACTTTTAATGAGCTCGGTAAAGTTTTGTTGCCAACTGAGTTTTCTTATTGAGAGAATACAAACACGATTGATGTTGTGGCAATCCAGGCTGAAATTATTTTTCAATTTTTCCAAGATTTGTTCAATTTCATAGCTTGCCACTGGTCTCAAAAACATAGATTTTTCTACATCTCTTTTGCTGTTATGTCTGTGGTAAGGTTTATGAAAAACGTTTGCAAACTTTTTGCCGATATTCGCAAAATTTTTTAAAATTAATCTGCATCTGAGATAATAGTATATGTGTTAAAATGCCTATTTTTAGCAGTCCCAGTAAGGTTGTTAATCAATCGAATTTTTTTTGTGGCTTAAGTCTGCAGTTTGTTCTGATAAAAATCTTTTTTGTTTTTTGCTATCAAATTTTTGACCATTTGTTTGCCAATTTAATTTTTTTTCCAGCTACGTAGTTTCATTGTTTATTTAAAAAATTTTCTAAGCCTATTCTTTGAGGCATTTCAACTTGGTTATCAAGGCAAAAGGTCTTGTCTTAATTACCCTTTTTGGTTTCTCAGGAACAAAATTAATCAAATTGTCAATAAACGTTACGTGAAGTTGAGTAAAGCCCTCTTCAAAGTTTAGAACATTAGCGTTTTCTTCTGAATAGTCGAAAACAATTTTCAAGTTGGTTTTTAACTGTTTAATTATATCTTTTCTGTTGAGTAGTTACCACTTTCTGGGAAGATAAGTTTTTTCATTTTGAAATTTTTCACTGCCAAACTTATACCACATTTGTTTTCACTGCCACCAAAAATTGATTTGAGATCGATGTTTTCCTTCCCGTACATTTGCCTCTATGACCTGAAAAAAAATACATCTAAGCATGTTGTCGATTTTTTTGGTATAAAAAAAATTTGTTGTCCATTTTTTGTCATAAACACTGAAAAAAAAATTTTTTTTTGCCTATTATCTTGAATAAAAATTTTTTTGCCATATAATCTCAGAAAAATGTAATTGTCACTATAAAATTGCCATAAATTTATATTTTTTTTCCATAACATCCATTTCAAAAAAGTTTCAACTTAATGATTGTATTTTAAATTAAACTTTACATCTAAAACAAGAGCAAAAAACAAGAGCAACAAGAATGGAGTATTGCGCCTGTCAATTCACATAAATCAACCATA